ACTTCCATGCCACATGCTATTTTGTCAGACTGCCCCCTTGCTGCCATCTGTCACACGGCAACATTTCATTAATTAAATTAATGAATTAAATTAATTAAAAAAAATACTGGAGCGAAAGTTCAGCCATACCACCAACGTACACCCCTGGTGTTGTGAGCTATCAGAATAAGGTATGAGGCACTACTTATGGAGCAGTGCTCAGAAAATACGTGATATAGTTAATGTGCGTGCAGTATCAAAAACTTTTATTTTCTAATGTTTGTAAAGGAAAGCATGGCTGCGTATTTCCACACTGGACTGTGATCGGCCAGGATATCACAATCCGTAAAATTATTTGCTGTAACTGGAATTAGTACTTCCTCGTGCCCTATCCCCTGGTTTCAGCCCAGACACTGTCAATAGCACGCTGGTACTTGGTCGTTGCTGAGGGGCTGGGCTGTTCAGTGAGGCAGAGCTGCTGCTGTGATGGTGCAGAGCAAGGGATGGGGTGCATTGTCAGCTATGTCAGGCTGCATGAAGTCTGTGGTCCACGGGTTGGACATCCCTGTCGTAGAGGTACGGTGCAATTGAATGTACTTTATTAAAGGCTGTCTCTAGCATGGGTTTTCAGACTTTTGTTTTTCTCACAGGAGTGCTTTAATTTTGCCAACCTTGATGCAGTGTTTGTGAGTGATATATTTCCTCAGTAAAACTCAATGCGTTCTTTTTTTTTTTTTTTGAAGATGTGACCGAAGTGAGTTGCTTGGTATGTAGTGATTGACATTTTGTGTGAAGATTTTTGAAATCGTGATCTTGTTTCATTTGACTTTTGTCATTTTCTTCTCTGCTCCTGCCATGTATTGTATCGTCACTGAGGAGAGTTTGGTTTGTTACTTCTGTTAGTGCTATATGCACCTGTTTGGGAATGGTTGAGTCTCCGCCTGAACCAGTGATTGAGCACCTGGGAAAGGGCCGGGCAGCCCTGGGAGCACAGGTGAAGACAATGAATCTGTGTGACCAGAAGTGGTGGAGTCTTGCTGCACTTCTCTAAGACCTCATTTAAGGTCTGACTTCCACTGTGGTAGGTTTTCTTTCTGGAGATCCTTTTTCTGTGCATTTTCCTCTGTGAGCCTGGATCCTCAGAGATGGGTGAGCAGTCTTTTTCCTTCCCTAGTAACATCCTCCTATTGCACTGATCCTTTTGCTGTTTTACTTCCCATTGCACCAGTACTTTTGTTGTTACCGTGCCACTCTCTGAAATGCTTTCGGTGCTGGAGGGAACCTACTCTTAAGGAGGTGATTTTCAAATGGTGCTGGAATCAGCTGCTGTTTTGCTAGCATTTATGAGTTTGTGAGTACACTATGTTCTCTGACCGAGAGCCCGTAGATGATGGAATCTGGAACTTGGAGGTATTCACATTACCAGCATTGCTTTTCAGTATAAACCTAGGGTTCTGTAAATCTGTGAAGAGCTTAGGTATTTTCTTTTACAGTCTAATTTCTGAGCTAATTCATCATAGTAATCCTATCTTTTTAATACTGCTGAACTTTGTCATACTGTAGATCTCTTTATTTGCCTTAGGCCTTCTTAATCTTGATAGCATGATCCCCCAGTGCACCTCAGTCGAAAGGTATGTGCACTCTATGTAACATCCCAGAAGAGGGGTTTTGCATTTGTGGAAGGACACTATGCTTGCCCTCCTCTGTTTTCTCTGCTGTGACACATCCTGTGATAAACTCCACTGATACTAGGATTTTGAAGAATTTTGAAATATGTTGTTTGCTGATTTTTATTTTTTTTTTTTTTTGGGAAGTATTTTACTATTTAGAAAAAGTCAAGCATGTATTTGACATCTTAAGCTTTGTACCAGAATTTTACACCAAGTACTTCTCCTTCTGTTGATTGAAGGTGAAAGGCATCCCGTTCCACCCACGTACAGGCTTTTATCATTTCTTGTTGTGCATATAATCTTTGTATAAGGTTATATGGCTGCATATCAGCACTGGCCTTGACCTTAGACAGACAAATCTGCAACAAGAGGCCTGACAGCGAGGGCCCATTTTACCTCATTTCCAGGTTCTTGATGAAGCTGTCAGGAGAAACTGGAAGACGTTAATCTGTAAAGATAAAAATTAGAATACTAAATTGATTATCAGAGCTGTGTAAGTACCATTATAGTTGTAAAGCTTGTACATTCAGAAACAGAAAACTTATTTGTAATAGAGGAATTAGGCGGTACAGTGATACTGGCTAAGAAAGGGGATTACATAGGTATGTATACACATATACACGGTACAGAGGTGCAGGGATGATGAGTGTTGTGGAACCTCAGGTAAACAACTGCTAACTTGAAGTTGGAAGCTGCTCTTCACCCAGCTGAGCAGAGGTTAGAAGAGATGAAGGTCAGCTGAGAATCTTCTGACAAAATATCTCTGCTATGAAAGGGTATCTACTTGTAGTATAGGAATTTTAACCAACAGAGGGAAGTCAGTAAAATTTTTTTCACTTAGTTTGTTCCTCTGTGTCTTAACTCTTGTTTAGTACACAATAAAGCTTCACTAAGACTTCACAAAGAAGTCTGTAGAAACTTGCAGTTTCCCTGAGAAATTGTGTTAATGACCCCTTGCTGGCTCCTTTTTTCACAACTGGCTGTCCGTCCCACAAGAGGGACAAAATCATTCTCTGGACTTGTAGATTCTTTTAAAATATCTTCCAGCACAATCAGTTCAGCTCGTATTTACAGGCTACCGTAATATGGGGTCTTATGGTTATGCTATTAGTTATATGCAATTACTTGGACAAAGTGTTTCTGTGTCTGTGAAGACAATTATAAACTTTATTGAAGGGTTCATTTAACTTATAACTGATAACTGAAGAGCCTGCAAGGGAAAGGACTCTCCTTCCCACTGGTCATACAGAGAAGTTGCCATCTAAGGTAATGGGAAATGTCCTAAAAGACTTTCACATCACTCAAGTAGCAGATAATAACATGTAATATATTCTTGATTCTATACATCTTTATGGTAAGTATTGGAAAGAAATAGACTTCAAAGAAATCTCTAGTGAATACATTTGAGGATGGTAAAAGAAAAACACAGGGAGGGTTAAAATGTGATCACCTATCCAGAATTGATGAAACATATTATTTCAAAACAGTTCTGAGTTCAGACTGTATGTTTACCTAGTGATGTAGTGTACAACGGTTCAGCTCTTTGAAAGGGGGATCTGTTTATTGGGCGTAATTGGGATTATTTCCTCTCTTTATGACTCCTCAAATCCTATCTCAAACAGGAAGGGGAATGGCTGTTTAAAAGGGTGGATAGTGATAAGACAAGGGGGAATGGTTTTAAACTGAGACATGGGAGGTTTACGTTAGATGTTAGGAGGAAGCTCTTCACTCAGAGGGTGGAGATGCCCTGGAACAGGTTGCCCAAGGAGGCTGTGGATGCCCCATCGCTACAGGGATTCGAGGCAGGGCTGGATGTGGCTCTGAGCAGCCTGGTCTGGTGGTTGGTGAACCTGCCCATGTCAGGGGGATTAAAACTAGATGATCTTTGATACCCTTTTCAACCCAGGCCATTCTATGATGCTTTTGCTGAGACGCTGTGCCAGTCATACTTTGAATATATGCTCCTGGTGTTTCATACTTTTGCCTCTTTACAATTGAGGAGAGGGAAATCATGCTGTCAGACTTACCAGCTGTTCTTGATAATTGTATGTGAAATTCAGCAGAGTGAAAATGAGTGCATTTAAAAGATCTAAGGAAATAGAGGAAGTTTGCTTAACTCCAAATGTAACTTACTGTTTGTTCCATCTGTGTCTCCAGCTCCACTTCCAATCTCTTTGATTTTAAACTCTTGGTCTTTTTTGTGATTTTTCAGGTCTTGGACCCTTTTCTCTAAGTAATTGAGTATGTTGGCCTGCTGTTAACATAGTAATAAGTCTTGTTACATATCTAGAGACTCAGAATTATTGCTGTGGATCTGAATGACATCGACTGTTCCTCTCTTTTAGGATTAGAAATCCCTATATATTCATCCAAATAATTTCCATCAAAAAACATGGATTGAAACCAATTAATTTTGTGTATAAGTACATGTAAGGTTAAATCATTTTTACGATACGGACTCTGAACTGGTCATCCCTCAGGCGCCTGATGTATACTATAGTCAGTCAGAGAACAATAAGCCCACCCTCACTCTTGGCATGCTCCAGTATTACAATATGCGTTTATCAGTGTCAGTTTCCATTAGCCTTTTCAACAACCCAGTATTCTAAGGTGAATACTTAGCTAGAATGACTAATTAAAGTGTTAGTGATTGTTTCTGGACTTGTACTTCTGTGCCCTAAATTGTGTAGGTCCAAAACACATGCAATTTGGGCAGAAGCAATTCTTTTCCTCATGCTGTAGCACTTACTTTGCTTCTACCTTACTTTTGACAGGTTTTACTAAACTGTGACTGCACACCTGGTATAGAATTGTTACCTTTGTGGGTGGTACGTAAAAATGCATATGTGGCAGATTTAGAATAAGGATAAGATGAGAAAGTTTTGGGACATAAAATTAACAAACCAGACAGGAGACTAGTCCCAATGAAGATCTTAGCATATTCTTTGGCTGGGAGGTAAGAAGGGAAAAACAAATGATAATGATGTGGAAATAAGGACAAATGAGGACTGTTTTCATTGTTTTTAGGGCTCTTTGGTTCTGATAGTCCCAGCTTCAAAAGAAAATGAATGAGTGATAATGTTAGTAATAGTTGGCAAAATGTAATTTAATTAACTTGGAACCAGATACTCGAATTTGTAAATAGAAATGCCAAGTTTACAGGGGAAAAAAAAAAAAAGCTAATATGGTCCAGAAGGTATAAAGAAAGAGAAACTGAGTATTTTTATGTTGCTGTGCACTGCAAAACGTTATTTTCTTGTATGAAATCAGGTGTCATTTAATGCACGTGGCAAAAAATGTTGAACGCTTCTGCATTAAGTATTAGAACTGTGGAATTCTGCTAGCTGTCCTTTAGATTTCCTTTAGGTATCTCTTATGGGAACTGGGCAGAGCCAGCTTTTCTGTGGGTGACCTTTGGACAATATGGCCCATCAGTCTCAAATTCATCAGTGCCCACTGGAAGGGAAATATTCTCCCACTTCTATTTCAGAGTTTTTAGGATAAGGTGTCACAGAGAGAAATGAAAACTGTTACCAACCTCACTGCTGGACGGGTGGCTTAATGTTCGACGGATCTCTAAAACATGCAGTACTCCAGAATCATCAGAAACAGCTAGAAATTGCTGCTTTGCTGAAAGGTATTTAACAAAAATGTGTAAAAATCTAAATTCCAACAGCAATACATTCTTAAACATGAAACGTCTCTATTCTGATACGGGATCTATCTCTTAATATGGGTAACAGAGTTACAAAGGGTTTTGTTGGGGTCTTTTTGGTTTATTCTTGATTGCAGTAAAAAGCTTTATTGATCTCCTACTTTCTTAACAAGTGAAATTCTCCTGAAGATTTATACTTTTTCAAGTTTTTTTTTATTATTTAAAAAGAAATTTTCAGTTACTTTATGCCTTACTAATAAATTTAGTATACTAAGAATATATGCATGAGCTTCCCTATACAGTATAATGCTAAACTAGTGGAATAAAGTACCTATCTTTTATATAAGATAATATGCAGCAAGATCAGTGAGCTTTGCAGAAATGGGCCATCTTACAAACATAAAGTAAAGCACGGCTAAGTATCATCACCATCAACTTACGTGAGGCGACCCAGGGGCTGATGCAAGTAATCGCTGATTTAGAGATGTTCTGGCTGTGAGATGGCTTGTGAGTTTCCTTCAGTAAGTCCCAAATATCTATATTTCCATCATCTGTGGCAATGTAGAAAACTCCTGGCCTTGTTAAGGACCAATGTCCTGCAGTGTATCTATGAGCTGTGCAGTTTGACTGGAGGATCGGTCCGTTCTTAATATATAAGATATTTGAAAACCAAGATGCAATGATCAAACAAATATCCATTCGCTACTTCAAACTTTGAATTTGTGAACATTTGATATTTAAATGATCCCATTATAATGTAATACAGGTGGCAGGCTCAGTACCACCTTCTGCATGTAGAAATGTGGGGGTTAAAAGCAATTCTGATATCTCCCTTCCAGTCTATGAATGTAATCTTTCTGCTGTTAAAATCTATGGCCTTGAGATGTGCAGCTAACCTGGATCCCTACAGAACAGGAACTGTAACAAAAACAAAACAAACTATGTTTTTATGCCTTCAGTTATTGAAAGGATTGCATCCTGAGTATGAATTCTTCAGATCTGCTTAGCACATGCATTGCCTTTGTTCCTCAGTTTGCAGCAGAAATAATTTGATGAGAAACTGGCTTTTGCAAAGATGGTACTAAAGAATGTTGGGCATTCTTTCTGCAAGTTGCAAGTTTACAAAGCCATTTCTACAACAGCTTTTCTGATGTGAAGTAAAAGGAAAAGCTTTTTTAAACTTTATTTCTAAGCTGTCAAGCCTTATGATTAACAAACAGTTTTGAAAATAGTCTGTGAGGCTGTTATTCTAGTTATCTCATTTATCTTTATTAATTATTTTACTGATGTTTTAAAGTAACTTACTGTAACACCTTCTTTCCAAATGGCGAAATTCCAGCCTCCAACACTGAGAATGATGTCTTTAAAAAATGGAGATCTCTGTACAGTGTTCACAGCTTCTTTGTGGATGGTGCATTTCTTACCTGAAGGAATGAAAAAACACAGTTTCTTGTAACTGGTCCTTTCAGTGGGTATTTCACAATGAGAAATGCACAAAGGGAAATACGGGGTAGTATTCAAAGATAACAGCTTCCCTTGCTTGCAAGGTGTTGGATTTACTGCAAATCTGGTTACCATGAAGCATGACTTCCATGCTTTATGCCAACATGTACACAATGATGAATCTATTGCACTGGAGAGTTGGCTGTTCTGCCATAACAGCTAAACTGTATGCTACCTTGAGCGTGTGCTGCTGAATCCAGATGTCTTCAGTGAGACAGACTTATAAGAATAGGTTAGTAAGAACCTTAAAAATACAGAATATAATTGCAAATATTTTAAAATTAGTAGGATATTATGGTTTAAACAGACACTGAGAAACTTGAACTTACTAGCTATTTTTTCCTCGTTACTACTGGTCTTCATTTCCCAGTCAGAATAAATAATATCTCCATCCTGTGATGCCAGAAAAATCATGTAAATGTTAACATAAGGATTTCACAGCGTACAGCAAAGTGGCTTATTTTAAAGCTTCATTATAAGCATTATTAAATTTGTTCTGGGTAAATTAAAACAGAAGTTCGTAACCCATGACCAAAAAAGCATGAATTTTGAATCACAATTGTGTTTGTTTTTTTTTTTTTTCCAAAACAGCTTCTCTTATCCTGATGTATATAGGCAGCCTTTCCTGCAGAACTGGGTACCCAAGTATTTGGGGAAAGGGTGGCAGAAACAAGAAAAGCAGCTAGGAGACAAATATTCATTTTCATAAATACTCAAAAGTGGGAAAAGTGTTTTTGGTGCGTAGGAGATGTAGAGGGCTATGAGTAGGTGGGATTTCTATGTATAAAAATAAGTTGTGAAGGAAACTGTAATTTTCACCTGATGTTTGTGGACACAATACAAAAAAAAAGACTCGCAGTAAGGCAGTGCAGTTTGTTTTCTGATGGCAGGTAGAAAAGTTTAAGGTGTTTTGGAAGCGTCTTCTACCTATTCTTGAAGTAAGGATTTGTAGCTTATTAAATATGGGCTTTTATTTTTATTTTAAGCGCACTGCTAAATGCATTGAAGTTGGAGAAAAATTCAGCATGTCCACAATGATCCTTTTAGTTAACGCCCAAAGAAAACATGTAAGTGCAATCAATTGTGGAAAATCTATGATTTACTTGTTCAGTCTTTCAGAGATCTTTTGATTGCCATTTCCATAGTAACCTATTATTTTAACTTACTTCCGTTCCAACAAAGAAGGTATTGGAGATATTCTCCAGCACATTCAGAGTTTTATTTGAAGAAACGCTCATCTGTGCATGCGGGCTTTCTTTGACGTGCACTTGTGATTTGTGCAGAGATTGCTCCTTATCTGGGAAAAAATACAGGTACGTCTTTATATTATACACCAAAAGTTACCATGTCAAACAGTTTCTTTGTCTGAAGGGGAGTTTCAAGCCACGGAGATGAAGAAAGCCTGCAGGACTGCAGCTTTATTGGCAGTCTAATAGCTTCCCTGGGCAATCTTGCCCTGTTGCTGGGGCTGTGGCTGATAGGAATGCTGGAATGGGATGGGCCAGTTCCCTCAGTCAGCACAGGAGCAGCCCAGTTGTTGTGAAGGTGCTGGCTGGTGTGAGCAACCTCTGGCAGGTGGTTGGTCTCAGGCAGTATCAGCATGGAGAGGGATTGGTAATATGTGTCCATTACAAAGTAACTGTGGATATAGAACAGCTCTTTTTGTACAGTCATAGTTGGTATTTGTATACTGCACTTTGAGTATCAGCATATTTAAGAAACGTTTTTCTCCAGCTGTGTTCAGCTACGGGCATTTTGTTGCATAGCATACAGTATGTATATACTGAAATACAAACTTACTAAAAACATATTTCCTAATAGAGTGTAATAAAAATATTACCTGTGATTTTGCAATGATAATGCTGTTCCTGTAGACTAATTTTGGTGGGACTGCATTTCACATTGTTTTCTTCTTCGTTGTCGCACAAGCTTATCTGTTCAGGAAAAAAAAAAAGCATCTGATCATCTGATAACTTATTTTCTCTGATCTTTGATCTTTTGTACCTACAAGGCTTCACTACTTCCTGCTGTAATGGAAGACGTTTTCATTCTACAGCATGTTTGTAATACTCCACAAAAAGCATTTGCCTCCTCATTTGTAAGTACAGAGATGTAAATTTACAGTTCCTCACGTTAACTTTTTCCTGCATGATTTTCTCTATGTTTCTAACAACAGCAACAACAAACAGCTCCAGTGGTTATGCTTTTTCAACATCTGTACCAGCTGCAGCTATTCTGGGCAGAACAGGCCAACAGGTCGTCTTTTTAATTTCCTTTATTTTCAGCCCCTTCCTCCTTCCCCATCCCCTGCTGCAATTAAGAAAAAAATCCCTCCCAAAACACAAGAAACCACCAAACCACACACAAATAAAAAACAAAACAAAACAAATATGTCCTATGACTATTTCCATCAGAGTGACTGTTGGATTGCCAATAATCCTGTTGATTGTGACTGTTTCACAGTTTGGGACACGGAGATAGGCAGAATGAAAAGGCTGACAGCAACATATGCTATTACTGCATCTGCTTTTGCAATGCTGCAGTTTTTAAGAAGCAATCACTCTGCTGCTTATGAGCTAGCTTCTCAAGATACATTTTGTAGTACTGTCAGAGTAACTTTGAAATGTTTCATAATTAGGAGTAAATCCACAGGAAAGTTGCAGTTCCAGGGGAAATTTTAAAGGGCTGGGAAGCAAAAGCACAAGTTCCTATGGGGCTCCGGCCATATGTACAGTTTGGTTTTTCTGCTCCACATCTGTGTGCAATACCTTCATGAGAGGTTTCCAGATGAGATCAGGATCATTAGAAGTATCTGAAACTTCAGGGTGCATATTGAAACTGTTTCCTTCTTTTACTTTCTCAGATGAATGCTTGGTGGGAATTTTGGTGTCTCTAATATCCCAAAATAATATTAAGCTGCAAAATAACTGTATGTTACTATTCTCTGTTTTACTTGCAAAGTCAGGTGCAATTTTTCTTGCATTTTACAAATGTTTTCTTATTCCTTCATTTCAAACTTTATGTAGCAATATAATTCTCAAATACGGACAAATGCTAATTACTCAATCACTTCTTTTGTAAATGGTGGCTTACATTCATTTATTCATCATATTATCAGTTACAACTCTACCGGGGCAGCCAAATAGTCTTTTAACTTCATTCTTTGAAGTCTTCCCTGACTTTGAGTAGGAAAAATAACTCTGTATCATTAACAAATCTTGCTCTCATACATAGACTCATACATAGAAGACATAATTGTGGTGGTGTGGCTCTCCAGGCCAGCGTATTTGTGTGACCTGTTCTACTTAAGATATAGACGAAATGTACAAGTGTGTGAGGTTGTTTATGAGCCCTTAACTGCAAAAGGCTTCACTGGTCAAGAACTCGATGTGCCTGATTTCTGTGTACAGAACTTCAGCTCTGTAGGCCAGGCTGACAGGAATTCAGAGGTGTACCAGAATCATGGGATGTGCTTCATGAAGCTTTCCAAAAGAAGTTGGAAGGCGTCTCGTACAGTGTGTATTGCATATACCTATCAGGGGAGCAGGTTACAAGCTGCACGCAAATTCCAGCTCTGTTTTCAAAAGTTTCACCCATTCGGTTGACCTAAAATAATAACAAAGGGGAGAGGAAAATAAGAGGGCAAAAATCATGCTCTAAGTAAATGCCTCAAGATGTAAAACGATCTTCTAGAATTTAAGTCACTTTGGCTTGGGTAAGATTTGAAAATTAGGACTTAGGAACTTGCAGTTATAATAACAGTTAAGGAGTTTTACACGTACTTCAGGTGAATTGATAACAGCTCTCCCTTGTGATCACCTGAAATTCAACATAATTTAAAAACAGAGATCTTATTATAATTCCATACTTGATTTTGAGTAAAGCTATCAATATTTTTTTTTCCAGTAATGACAAAATCATATCAGGGTGAGGATACAGAACAGCTGTAAGGCACAATGAGCAGAAGTGGCACCCAGTTAATTAACATTTTAAAACATAGAAATAGGGAGCTCTGTTACAAATAATTCAACTTTTCAGCTTTTTACCTTGAGTTTATACAATGATCTCTGAAAACAGTAAAAAGAGGGGAAGAAAATAAAACTCACCTCAAAATAATCTGGCAGCCAATGTATATCTGTTATTCTTTTTTCATGGCTATGGTGTATGGAGGAGGCTGTGCAATGTCTCACTAAAATTTGCCCTTTATCACTCTCATCATCCTCTGTAAGTAATAGCTAGAAATATTTAAAAAGAAATATCTTCGTGTATTTTCAAAACTTAATAGTAAGCTTGTCCAAGAAAAAAGATTATATACTGATAATGCTTCTCATATATTTCAGAACAGGCTATGAAGTTTCACTAAGGTCTAATACAGAACCTTCTGAAAACAGAAAGCCTTGAATCAGGTCTTTGGATATGAAGCTCTGAAAGGAATTCCAGTGTTCGTCCAGGGACACACATCCAATTAAGTTATTAGTTCCTTCTCTGCTTTTATGTCTCTCTCTTCTATAGCTCACTTCCCCTGAAGTCTGCTTTTTGTCTTCTATGCTATCATTTTTATACCTAAGCATTTCCAGAACCATTTTTAGCTTTTAAGAACAAATGCTATGCATATTTGACAGGCAAGAGTTAAGTAAATGTTGCTGCCCATTCATATTGAAGCTGAGGTCTGTGCAGAATACAGTAAAACTATTAAGCTCCACTAATCAAGTAGAAATATTTTTGTGATAACAGATTTATTTCATGAACTCATCAGGTTTCATATCCTACCTAGTTTCTCACTGCAAAGAGCCAGGGTACCTTCACTCATTTTTCCCTATAACCTGTATTCTAAGTTTCCCTCTCTTTACCTCAGACATATTATCATTCTCCAGTAGACTTAGAACAGAAATGTTATTCATATTAACAACTGTCTTTTTCATTCCAACAGCAACGCTTTTAGCATTTTGCAGTTTTTCTTCATATTGAGAAATATCCCACACTACAACCTATAAGGAGAAAGGAGAATATTATTTCATTCTTTGTATTAATACTCATTTTTCCCAAATACAATTCATGGTTTTGGTGTTTTTGTTTTTGTTTTTTTTCTGAGGGAAAAACAAGAAATTCACTCTGTATACTAGAACTTATAAAGACTTTGAAACCATTACCTCTTTAATATGGTGATGAGTTGAACGGCTATACTTATGTCAACAACAAATAGAAAAAAAGTCTGCACGGTTTGACACATTCTGATTTTTAGCATATTTTGATGTACTGCAAACAACCATCTTGAAGTTGAAGTACTGGTCAATTTAGGAATAATCAGAACATAGCAGAATTTCTATAATTCATTTCACAAGAAAAATACAGGGAACTATAAGCTCTCTGTCAGATGTAAAATTGAAGAGAAAACTTTCTTACTCATAGAAATGATTAATTCTCTTGTTTGAGTTCTGCATTCTTGAGACTGATATTTTTTGTGACAGTTATTCCAAATGTTGAGTCTTTTCAATCTTTTTATACTGCAAGAAAAGACAGAAATATCTAATCTTACCCTTAAACAAAATTAATACCTGTCCACTGAAGCAGCCACCAGCAATAATGTTTGGATCACTTGGGTTGAACTGAAAGCAGTAAATGTCATCAAGACACTCTAATATTAACTGAGAAGAAGGAAGAACAAATAGTTAAGCAATGCAGTCACATTTTCTCTTTTTATATGAACATTTGGAGTATGTAAAAGACTTCATTATATACCTGAGGGTGGATAGGATCAAAAAAGCTCCAGAAAATAATTACTGAGTCATGCTGTGGTTTAGTTCTCTCTTCTTTCGAGGGCCGTTTTATTGCTGACTCTGCTATAATCCCTGATTGAGAGAGAAAGCAAACTTTCTTGGATACAAACCAAATTCCAACATACAGTTACTTATGGTGAGTGACTTCTTTATGCCTGAGAAACCAATTAAAAAAAAAAAAAAAACCATCATGTATTTATATTTTTGTTGTTGCTGATCAGCTTTGAGGAGATTACATCTATTAAGATTGTCAATGTATTGTGGAAGCTAAGGATCAGGATAAACCTCTACTTCTTTCCTTTTGCTCCTTAATGGTGTAATATTGATCCTGAAGTCATATGACAGACCCATCCACCATAAAATCAAATATTTTGTAGGTGAATTAATTTCCTACACAGGCAGCAATGCTGGCTCTAAGTATACTGTGCAGTGTAGACAGGCATATTGATTAAGTTGGTTTTTTAAAATTAGTATTACTATTTAAATCCTGATGACTTTATGAAATATGCATATTTTACATCTGTCATGTAATGCATATCATTCAAGACTCAATCATTACCATAGATGGTTGGATGCCAACAAATGCAGCTAATGCTTTTGTCCTTGAGATAGTGCAGATCTGTAAATGTTTGGTATGCTTTAAGACAGATGTCTGACTTGCCACCAGAACTGTTCATGTCGTCTTCTAGGGCTTTCCAGTCATCAGAAAAAGCATCTATAATTTCATTTTGCTGCAATGCAATTTCCATTCTGTTTTGTGAAAGAACAGTTAACATTTTCAAGAATCCAGATATGACAACTCAGCAGTAATATAAATGCACAAAATATACAGCTTTTGTTTTACAAAAAAATTTGGATTGTGTTATTGAAAAAAAAATAACGAAATCCTCAGTGATGCATTACAAATTCTTTCCCATTCAAAATATGGGAATGAATTTAAGACGAATTTAACTCCGGTTCTATGTATAACAAGTACAGGAAAATCATCTAATACTTGTGCAGAAGTCATGACGAAGTGGGACTTGTCTCATGACTAAGGGCTGTAGGACAGTGCCTTTGCTCTTCTGTAATACTTTTTGCTCAAGTGGGCAGTTTGAAGGCTGGCTTTGCAGTTTGTTTGAAAAGATTTATTGCTACCAACTGTAACAGGTTGAAGTTATACTAAGCCACCATTCCAATTAATATGGTATAGATTTAATGTTCATCTTAATAGAAGCAAATATCAAGGTAATATTTGATAATATAATAATAAGCAAGAGAGACTATATAGGTAAAAAATATTCAGTATTCAGCCAGACTGATGGTCCATTACAGACTAGTTCTGTCTTCACACACCTTCATTCTACAATGTTTCATACAGCCTTTGAGATGTCTGATGGCAGTAACCTTACCTTAAACATACTGATGTGAGAAATTGTTTCAGCTTCTCAGATGACAGAATCTCTTCTTTCTCTTCATTCGACAGCTGTCTAGGAAAATACTGCGTGGCTGCATTTTTTGGATAGGTCCTAACCAAGTGGAATAAGTTTGAATATGAGCATGTATACGTTTATTTTAAAGACAAATCTTAAAGACAGAAACCCATGTCTTGTGTAAAATTGAAAGCGAAATATATTCAGTTTTTCTAGGATGTCTTTGAAAAAGTGAAAGAAGAGGAAATAGCATCAAATTCTGCTCTCTTAATTTATAAATGAGCAAGTCCAGAGGTGTTAATTTGCATAACTTTAGGTGAAATCAGAAACAGTTAATAGCTTAATAAATAAGCTGAAAAGTATTTCTCACACTTACCATTGTGTCTGGGTACTAGATTCTCTTACTTCAGGAACCATTTGTACACCCACATCTTTTTCAAGCACTTTTATACTGAAAGATTTGTCTTGGTAGGAAGAACATTCAACATAACTGTCTTTTGCATGTGAAGCATTCCTGTCAGTAAATCTAATTGGTGCACCAAACTTCCTGTGTCCTCGAGAAAACATGTACTTAATCTGGAAAAAAAAAAACCACAAACATTTCTAAAGTTATCAGAGGAGAGAGTTTTTGTAGGGTCTGTTCTGTGAGCTGGCAGCATTCATGTAACCGTAGGACTAGTTCAACTGATGGTTTCTGTGCTGAGTTGGTTATGTTTATAAGCACTCTTTGAAAGTCAACTACATACGTAATACACGATGTGTTTGTATTTCCAAAAGAAAGAAGTTGTCTTCAGTGAATGTTTTGGATTACTGCTAGCAGGATAAGAGAACTACATTTTCTAATTCAGGCAATATCAAAACTGAGCCTCTAAAGGGTTGAGAAACTTCTTGCCAGAACTCCCTCCAAAATTCACTCTCCTGAAGTGAGTTGTGTGGCAGTTCTAAAAACAGAAACCACACAACTCTAGGTGGATTTACACCCCAGATTAATTTTGCAGGGAGATGCCTGTAACACCGAGTTGGACTTCTAGGACCTAACTTTTCAACTCATGTTTCAAACTGCAGTTCTATGGCAGAGTATTTCAGCCTCACTTGCAGTGCATAGGGAAAGTGCATGAGGGAAGATCCACAAAAACAAACATTTTGAGTGAGGAGTTTCCTTAGTGACGATTGGAAAAAGAGGATGGATACAACTTCTCCACTTTCAGAGAAAGTTAGGCACTTGATTTCAGACAGCAGAGGGGTATTTCTTTGTCTCGGATTCATATTCAAGATACCTTTTCCCACCAATTCATGGAGAACTGGAAAGGAATGTGGGCTAGTACTTCCATTTTGTTCAACAGGCCACCGTTATAAATCTGGAAATTTTCTACTCAAGAAAAATTGGTCATTTTATATTATGTTGTAGTAGGAAGTAAAATTGAGGATTTCACACTTCTGCCTTCCCCCAGACTGGTAGGCTATAGTGTTAATTCCTCAGTATCCTTCAGAAATGTGCAAAATAATGGCAGGACGGGAAGAAGGGCTGGTGAGTCAGGGCAGAGATGGGGAAGCTAAAAGACAGCTGAGGAGGGGAGGAAGACAACGGTCAAATGTCAGGAATAATGCAACACTGAGTGCAGATGGAAAACAGCAGGAGGGAGGGTCTGGCAAGGAGGTAGTGTTGGTTGCACAGAGGTTCATTCCAACTGGGTACATAAGATTCTTCAAATAGAAAAAATAAAAAAATAAAAAGTAAAAAATTCTACTTCCTACTGAGTTATTTAACTGCAGTATTTTCACATGAGGATATCAGCACTGCTTCAGATCTCATTTTGTACAAAGCCTTGGTGACAAAGCACACACTGAGAATACTTCTGAGCAGGTCTTGCCATCAAGGTAGAATACAGAATACTTGAAACTAAACAAGGTTCTTAGAATGTAATTACAATGATTTGTAATCTGGCTACTTAGTAAATTGAGCAAAAAGTGGCAGAGATGCTAACAACCAAAGAGGATCAGGACTTTTGAACATACAGTTTAAGAAGTAAATAAACCCCGTGCAACCTCACATGCTTTATTTGCAGGACTTAAAGGGAACTGAGTTTTCCTGCAGCACTTCATTTTCATTTATGTTTGATAGTTTTGGTCACTCTCTTTCTTTCTTTTCTTTCTTTCTTTTTTTTTTTTTTTTAAGGATTCAATCAAATCAGATTTCAGTTTTCTGACTTCTGCTTTTTAAGGAACTTAACATAAATTTGTTTTTATGATACTTGTCATAGGTAGATCTGTTAATCTGCACCTTTTTAATGCGCTCTTTAACAGATTCTTCTTCAACTTCCTTTTCACTGCCAAGAGAAACCCACGGTTTGGAGACAGGACGCTTATAAGCACAGACTTCTGGAGTTTCCTCTTTCTCTTCTTCACTGTCCATTTCTTCTGCAGTTTCTGGAGGCTGACATCAAAGAGTGAGAAATAGTGTTTTTTCAAATTTCGTTACTGAATTTCTAGTTCATATACTTATGTTTCAGATTTCAGTTTTCATTTTGCATTCTTCTGTCTCAGCGCAAGGAATCTGGCTATAATGCGTCCCTGCACTCAGTGGGGTTATGACCCATTCATCCATTTGACAGTAAATGTTACCTATTTAAGTACTAAACAGTGTTACAGTGTAGTCAAGAGTTGTCTTGGAAGCCAAACACTGCTCTAAAGAAAGAATTTATAGTGATTTTCTACAGTAGGCCTTCTTGTGTGGAATTGCAATTTGCCTTTCTATTAATCATTACTTCTGCTGGGAGAGACTCTCCTGTTGAAGAATGGTATAATCTAACAATGCAGTACATAAGGGGAATTGTGTATATATGCAATTGTCTAAAATTAAATATCTATATATGTATGATTTGAAGAATATATAAAAATACATACTATGAAAAGTAAATACAATATTTATTTGAAGGTATCCAATATATTACAATTTCTTAAATGTATGTCTTAATCAAAAGCATGGATGTTGGAAGAGAAAATTAACACTTATAAAAATGCAGCAATACTAGCCCTCTGAAGTAGAACATAATTTAATTGTTTTTCTCACTGCCAAAGGTATTTTTACAGCAATATATCTATTTTTCTTTACCAGGTTATCCTTCAGAGGAACGTTCTGGCTTGCAAAGCACATCAGATATTAACTGAACGTGATAGCAATGCTGGAATATTTTTGAGGCAAGATTCTGAAATGTTCGTAGACAGAATAACGCTGTGGTGTTTTTCCTTACCTTCAGAAAGTTTTCTTTCGCTTCCTCAGAAGCAACAAGATAAAAGTTCTGTCCATACTGGAAATTTGCATCAAAAACTATCAGAAGTTCTTCCCCTGGGTATTCCTATTTCAATTAAAATAATTAGTGGAAGACGAGAGAGAGGAAAAATAAAAAATCTGAGAAAGACATAAGCCTGGGACTGGCAGAATGCAGACTAATGATGTTGTGTAAAATCAGTATCTTGGTTAATCTATTAATTTCTCTGCTAAGATCACATGTTAATTGAACAGCACAGACGGATTTTATTTTGTAATCAAAACGTGTGGAACAGAACTAATATTTTCACATGCAGAATTAAACAGAAAATCTGTTTCAGTGATTTTCAATGATAAGGCAATGAATCAGGGAAAGCGAAATATGTGCAGCTCTGTCTGTTCACAGAATCAAACCTGGTCACATTTATGTTACTTTTAGTATATTCCCAGCTTAAAGATAGTTTTTAAAAAGTGCACATTGAGCCATGAGAAACTTCTACAGCTGGCTGTGATCTGTGACCTTGGGCTATTAGAGCATTGGTGTATTTACACAGTCAAACAAGGACAGACCCTACTATTAAATATGCACTCTGAGAATATAAAGTTCTGAAGTGAGAACACAATAAGCTACATACCAGGACAATGTTTTTGACAGGGTGGAAATCTGAAATAGCAGCTCTTGTTTTTAGGTCCTGAATGATGTCGTCTTTTTTAATAAGCTTGAAACAATTTTCTTCTGTGACATCCTCATCCACTCGGCAATTAAAAATTTCTTGGGTCCTTGTAGTGAAAACTAAGGGGAAGATTTCTGGGTGGCCTATGAAAGAAAGAAAAATCACATGCTAAAATAACTTAGAGTGTTCTTTAAACATAAGTAACTCCAGGACTTTACTGTTTCCTAGGCGAATGTCTTTGAATCTTTCAGCTTAGTTTTTGTTACTCTGAGAGGTGTGGAATACAAATCATGTTGCATTTGGCTTATCTTGGAAAAGATTCTACCTAATATATATATGTGTGTGTGTGTGTATATATATATATACATATATATATATATATGTATATTCTTTTTTTTTAATGAGTATATGTCATTACTAGTATGAGAGATCATTTTTCTCTGGATTGACAGGTGGTTATGAACTTTTGTGGGAAGTCATTAGTGGAGGACACAATTGTATGGCTTTTATTTAAAACAGCCTTTAAATATATAATCTCTTCTGTATAAAGCAGTGCCACGTTAAGCCAGTATTTAATCTAAACATGGCTTCAATACCATCTCAAATAAGGATGCTTTTCTGATTTTGTACTTAAATGCTTTTCTCATCAGTTCAGAGTGTCACTGGGTACATTTTTGAACCAATAGGTGAGACTGAAGCAAGGTCACTAAGATTCAAACCAGATGCAAGGCTTCATTTTCAAGTTTGCTGGAGAATAAGTAGCAGTTGGCTGCTGTGCAGATGAGCCGTTAGGTTTAGTCGTATCCATGCTGAACAAGATAGCTATTTCTTATCTGAATTCTGATGCTGTAATCTTCAGTATTCTTAGAAAGACAGTTATGTAACCTGGGGATTGCACTTTGCAAACACTCACAAACTGATGATAATATGCTGTGCTTCTTGCTGGCCATATGTACACAACCCTGCTGCTGCACAAACTGTTTTACATAATAGATAGAAGTGATTAAGATCAGTGCAGACCTGGCTAACTGAATCTTCCAGTGCTATGAGACTCTTTCCTTCGTGAAGACCCCTATACTTACATCTGAGAAGGCAAGCAGATGTTTATCTTGAATGTTCAATTTCTTGATAAACCAGAAAATTGTAAAGAAATGCAGACATGTATGTGAGATTTTTGTTGCCTACTAAAATGGGCAATCTACTAATATGGGTTGACTTCTGTGATAAGCCCTGGTATTTTCAATCTTCTGAGTTTCATTCTATTTCCTTTCTTTGAAATACATACAATGTTATCTCAATTCCCAGTACTTGGGTGTTTTTTTCTTTTTGTTTGTTTATTTTTTTCTTCTGTGTGCTTTAAATTGGAGCTGGCATCTATATTGAAGTGATTGTGTTGATCAGCAGCCTCAACATGTTCTGAGAAGCTGTCTCTAATATATGCCAATAAGGACTGATAAAATGATCAATCCTTCATGTCTATGAGCTGGGAAACTAAATCTCTGCATTAGCCTATCTTATAATGTATAATGTTTGGTGAATCTGACATTTATCCTCTAAACTCTTTCAGTGCCACTCTGTGTCTGTTCTTCTATAAGCATCCATGACTGTAAGCTTAACTGACACATCTGGTACACCCTGCATACACCAGGTATGATTTTTGTGGCATTCACTATTTTGTAGTGCTCACCATAGGCATGTACAGTCCACTAGTTCACTTTCATCACAATCATAGTCAATATTGCAGTTTCCCTCTCAATATCTTAGAGATTTCCAGGATGTCATTGAAGATGCTTCCACAAATTACAGAGTTATAGGCAAGTTATTGGGAAAGACCTCTGGAGGTTATCACCATGAGTAACACCAGACTAAGTCAGCTCTCTGACTACTCTCTGTAGCTCATGAGGCCAAGACCTAGATTCTTCCTTTGCTTATCAATTTGTCTGTGAGAATGGACAGGGGAAAAAAATTGTTTATTCCAAGGTGATTGGAAAGATTTAATCCTTCTAAAAAACAGCAGAAGTTGGTTATGAGAGATGGCAGAGCAGGGCCAATAGTCCAAGTGGTGTTTTCTTCAGTGCTCAAGTGCCATAGGTCCAAGTTAAAAGGAAAGTAATCTTCACAGTTGGTTATAGATTCCTGGATCTGTATATAAATATATATTGTAGATTCACGGGCTGCTATTAAAATTCTTATTAGAGTGAGCATTTTTAGAGTGCTGCATTCTAATAAGAAAAATAATGTATCATCTAAAAAGAGACTTTGTATTGTGTTCCAGTAGTAAATTGTATTCATGTGATTCACGAAAATCTATAGCTCTATCAGCACTTAAAAGGGCAAAAAACTCCAATAGAAGTGAAGGACATTTGTAAGCCTTATACGAAGGAGATGCCACACAGACAGTGTAAAGCCTGCACAGACAGTGGAATATGGCAGTATTTCTTCTTGCTTCCAGCAGCAGGTTAGATACTGCAAATCTAACCTGGCTTGCCACCAGGTGGAGTTAAAATTCTTTCCTAATGACAAAATCAAGTATTTCAAGGAACATAATGTTCAGCATTTTAACAGTAACACTTTCATCATCTGGTTAATCTCTCGCTGTCCATTTTCATTAATTACCCATTTTTGTGAAGCCAATCAGAGCACAGATTTCACTTTCATGCATGCTTCTACAGGATTATATAGGAAAGCAGGTGATGTATGATGTCTTTACAGATTACCTGTTTTTTGTATTCCTAGTTTTGCCCATTATGTCTTAGCTTTTAGCAATAAAAGCTCTACTGTTAAAAGCTAATTGAGAAAATAACCCTTTGGGCTTATTCTGTGAACCATAAATCTTACATAGATGGCAATTTAAGTTATATCCAATAAAGAACCACACAAACCTGGTCATAAGAGCAATCTAACCGGAGATGTGAAAGACATTACAAGATTACTTTGTGTTATAGATGAAATATAAACCAGATTTAAAAAAAAAAAGTATAATTTCATATTTTAACTGATAACTATGGCTGCCTTTAAAACCAAACAAAACTGCATTTTTCTTGCTCGGAACCCAAGGGAAGCACTCAGTACCTTGTGACTTGTAAGTGGCAGATGGTATTTTGTTCTGTTAAGCAAAAAGACATTAGTCAAAGTCAATGGAGATCTATGGTAAAAAACAAAGATGGTCTGCTAAAATCACCTCCTCAGTGGATTTAATAATTACTTGATGAAATAAAAAATTAAGTAATTATAAAAATGTCAAGCTTTCTTTCGGTTGTGTAGCTACTATGAAATGCAAACTTTTTTTTTTTAAATCCAGTAATTCTGTTGTAAAGCTCTTTATTTTTCCTGATCCCAGCTCCTCTCAACCCAAGATAAAAAACAAAGCCGTATCTATTTCAGCTTTCCTGCTGCACAGCCTGCTGTGAGTGGCACCAGAGTGGTACCATCTATAATCACCACAGTAACAGATGTACATAGTTCTTAATTTTCCTATTTATATCCTTTTTTTCCTTTTTGTTTCATGTCATTATTAGTACGGAAGTTTAAAAATGTTTAAAATGTTCCAAAACAATTACTTTACAGCCCAGTCATCATAGCACTTACCTATGGCAACCATAGAAAGATCAACTTCATCTTTTTTCTCTGAAATATAACAAGACGTTATGAGAATTTGTTTCCCTAATGAAATAACTATGAACATACACTTCCTTCCTTGTTAAGGCAATGCTTAAAATTTTTATATACATTTAAAACTAAAGTGTGAAGAGGAAATACAAAATAAATTCCACACAGCTCTAACTCAACACAAGAAATGAGGGAAGCCTTTTAAAATAGATCTGTATCTTAGGGAGCCATTAGCATTTTTTTGAGACTTTGGAGATTTAAAGCTTGCTTTTATTTTGAGCAGGTGCTCTCACTGGAGAGAAGCAAGATTCCATGCGTTAGAAACTCCCCTTACCATTACCTGCTCACACCTGCCTGGGACAATTAGCATGCAAATCATGTTATGTGCAGAGGTGAAAAATGGACAAAGCTCACTGATGTAGTATGGTAGCAGAGCTGGCAGGTGTGTGGGTAGACCAGATTATTACATTCTTCATATCTGCAGTACTTTACGCACCAGGCTGTTTCTGTTCTCCTTTTGAGGCTTGCTTGGCTTCCCCACTTCTCTGTTTCTTTGCTGAGGGTTTTGGACCTTTCAAGGTGGTCTTGCCAGATTTGAGATTTTTTGGCATGTTTTTCAGATTCTATAGAGAAAATAGATATCAATACATAGTAAATGAACAGTGGAATATACTGTGCAGGAGTGAAAATTTGGCCCTTTATATATTTTATTATTCCAGTCTAATTTTCATCCACAGCTAACACTCCAGAATTTAAAACATAAATTATGTGGTACGTAACAGTTGTAAATTCACCCATTCAGGGTCATTAGATACACAGGCTGATTATCAAATGCAGAGAAAGGTTAAGTTAGAGCAAGCATTAACCTTAAAGAAAGCTGGAGAACTTGTGCTGCGGTGTGTAAAGTGTAGGTGAAGATTTCATAGCTGTTCGTACTTGTGCCAGTCTCCTTAAAATGTAAATCATTACATGGGTGCACAAAGCATTTTTGTGCTTTTGCATTTCCATTTAATTTATCAGTGGTAGCTCTGTGGAGGACAGATTTGGAAAGAAATCATGCAGTTACATGCAACAATTGCACAGCTAGAGACCATACTGTGCAGAAAGCTACTTCTCTTTCATTTACTCCCCTCCTTCCCATATCCAGCGTAAGGATGAGAACAGCAGCGTAATAAATGAAGTCTCATTTCCATCCCAAAAAGAAAAACAAAACCCAGCCTGCCCACTGTACAGACCGGATGGCACGCCAGCAGTAAATACAGTCCCAGCACCACCATGTGGAAGAGGTGCGCATAGCATCCAGTGAAACTGAACCACAGTGGTCCCAAACTGTAATGAAAAGTACTGAAATTTGTTTGATGTTACTGTTGGACAGCTAGAGATATTCAGCTGGGATAAGGACAGTGGGACTCCCAGTGTTTGTGCTACAGTTATCCTTAGCAATAGGAAAGAAACATGAAGCCTCTCTCCCTCTCTTGCATTTACTGCTGTTCTTTGGCCTATAAGCTGACTGTCAGAGGAACTGGTTTTTTTAATGTGTACAAAACACCTACAGAATTTGGGTGCTACTACACAAGCACCAACAGATTAACTTCTTGGAATGCTGCAGCTTTTGCCTTGCAAGAGTTGACGGTTTTGGAAGATTTAAAAAAAACAAACATAAATCAACACAAGTAAATCATGTGCTGTAAGGACATGACTGTAAGGAGGAAGTTTTTGGTTTTGTTCTTTTTCTGTCCTCATTCACAGTAGTTTTGTGAAGCACAGGACTACAAACACTGCTGATATATTTGTTACATTTAACATTTTTCTGATTATGATCTTTCAAAGGTGCCTCTACACTTAGTGATGCCTGGTTTACAGCTCTGAAACACTTAGGGCTACCTTAACTTACCTTACATCTTACTTCAGGTAGGTTAAAAAAAAGCCAATTTTTTCTCTCTCTCTCTTTTTTTTTTTTTTTTTTTTGTCATTTTACTTTATTTATTTAAGGTATTCCCTATCCATCTCTTCATATGTTTTAAATAGAATTTATGACCAGCATCCAGCATTTCTGCTGCTGAAGAAAGCAGACAGTGGTGCCTGTGGTTAGAAGGAGAGGTCAGTTGTTTCAGAAGTTAGTTGCAGGCTGGCACGAACTGCATCCTGTGTGTTACAGTCATGTTGTCTTTCTTAGGCATTTCATAATTATACACTGAGATAAAGCCAATTTGGAAAAGATGAGTTCTGCTGAGTAACCAAAACCCTAAGTCACATGAAGAGAGGAAGCACTGAAAGGGCTGAGATAAATCACGTGGCTATTTTTAGCAGGAGAACTTGCAAATAAAAACAACCTTTCTCCTCTGACTGACTTCAAGAATTTTGTACATATGAAAGCGATTAAAATTTTGTCTCCAAGTAACGTGGTTCCTTCTTCTTTAACTGGAAGAATCAACTGTACTACGCAGATGGAGTGCTGATGAAGGCAGAGGGAGCGAGTGCGTCTGTAGGCAAATACAAGAAGTGTCCCCATTTTAAGTGTTGGAAATGAATAATACAGCGATCAGTGGGGACTGTGTATGGTTCCACCTGTGGTGCAAAGAACCTTACCGACTGGAAAGGTGATATATCTAGAAGAGTTAGAAAGCACAAAGTAATTATCCCCTTTCACAATATCCCTAACTTACTGCATCTGTCCACTTGTCTTCCTGTGGGCACTCGATTGTCAGCTGTCAAGAAACATTTAAGGCCTCCAAAGAAACCAAAGGCAGGACTTCTAAAAACTTATCTGAAAGATAATCGAGCCCACATCCATTTACTGGCTATATATACTAAGGTTTGGATTTACTTTTGTTGTTTAAACAGGATTATGGTACTAACCTCTAGGTGCTCCCTGCGGGAGGCTGGCACCTGATGAGAACTTCAAAACATGAGCTGCACAGCGATCTATTTTCCTCTTGCCACAACTTCTGAAAAAGGGACAACATTTACAGTATCGTAATATGAAAAAAATTGTGAGTGCAAAAAATAAAAGTTAAAAAAAAAGAATTGAAAAAAAGAGTTGAAAATCCATTGATGTATAAACCACCTGCTATTTTATGTAAGCAGTAACACGTTATGTTCATTTTTTCATTACATATGTTCAGCCTAATTTCTCAGCAAATTTTCCAGTGGGACACAGCGTTATGGTGTTTAATTGCAGAAGCCCATGTGAAGCTGTGAATGTTTGACAATGTGCAGCCTCATTTAGCTGTAGCTGGATGTAACATTCTGAACTTTATAATATCATGAAGAGCAAAATGAAGTTTAGAATGTTCTCCTCCCTGGTAAATGGACACAGACATTGATGGCTGTAGAACAGAGGCGTGATGTTGCCAGGTGCTGCAGATGGAAGGAGCACCAGCTGCCAGCAGCACAACCGTTGCTGTCTGAACGGAGGGCACGGAGAGATTCAATACTTGCTTAATTGAATGATTTAGATTTCAGTTTGTGTGCATTACTAATTTAAGACTAATTTACTCCAATTTGCTGTGACAAAAATGGGGTCAACTTAACAGAACAGCTACAAGGAAATTATTAAAAACATACTCTGCTTTTTTTTTTTTTTTCTTTTGGTGGTGTCACTGACATGCTAAAGCCTGCATTTCTGCATGTAAACATTTAGGGACTTACTAAAAATACCATCTCAGTAATTAACTACTTGCTACATAATTAAGTTCATGTACACTGTTCGCTTTATTTCATCTACTTTCTACAGTTCTACACGACTGGCAAACAACACACCTCAGGTTTGTAGTGCAACAAATGGTTGTACGCACTTCAGTGCAGCTTCATTCTGTGAGCCTGGGCTGAAGCTTTGGCAACTGCCCCATCCGCTCTGCCCGTGAGTGTAACTTATTCCGCACGCGCAGATCTTGAAGGACTGAGCCTACGTGAGCCAGGCGCAGATTTCGTTAGTAGAAACCCGCAGAGGTTTTTGTTTGCAGCGAAGGCAAGGGAAGAACGAGCTCAGCCTTCCAACACGCGGCCACCCGTCAGCCCGCATGGAGCCCCGCTTACCTGCGCGGCGTGCGGTTGTCATGGCAACGGGGGGGGCGGGATTGACGTCTCCGACAGGCAATAAGCTCGCTGCTTTTCGAGCCCGCCCCCACGAGGGGATATCGCTATTGGCTGATCTGCAGAGGGGCAGGAAAGCTTCTCGCCCCAGCGTGCGGTGCGCGAAGGGCTGCCGGCAGGTGGCTGGGTTGTGCTGGGCGAGTGTCGGGCGTGTGTCGGGCGGGCGGTTCGGTGCCGTGTGATTCAATGAGGAGCTGTGCGGTGCACAGCGATAACTCATTTTGCCCCAGCGTCATCCCCTGTGCCCGCAGCACTCCCAGATCAGTGCGTGCCCCGTCCCGCCGCTTACCCTTTGCAACTGCAATTCCGTAACCGGAAGGGTCTCTTGCATCGCGTTATGTTTTGCTCTGTTTGGTTTAATTAAAGATTTGGTACAACAAATTGTAGGACGACTGCATCGACCTTCCCTCCCGCCGCAGCAGCCCGAACCAGAACCGGGCAGGGCGGTGCCGCTCCGCGAGCATTGCCTGCAGGCGGCGGTAGGGGCCGGGAGGCCGCCGAGCTGCTGCACCCCTCCGGGCGCCGGAGCGCGGTGCGCGCAGCGGGAGCACAGCGCAGGTATTTGCATCAAAGCCTTCGCCCTGGGCTGCGGGGCGGGAGGCGGGGGGCGAGCCCGGGGAAACCCGCGCTTCTGTCCCGGCTGGGTACGGGGAGGGCTGCGAGGAGGAGGCCCCGTGGCGCTCCGCCGGCTGCGGGGCGAGGGGGAGGGGGCGAGGCGCGGTGCGGTGCGGTGCTGCAAGGAGAGGACGGGCTGTGTGCGGCGATATCCCCTGGGGTCGGAGCCCGCGTTGTCTCAGCGTGCAGGCTGGCTGGAAAACGTGCGTTGCGTTTGTCTTGAGTGTCTTCTGCAGCTGATACCGTGAGGTCAAGAAGTACTTTTCTTGTTATCAGGCGCATGCACTGACAGCAGCGCGGCGGTGGCAGAGCATTTTGGTGCCCGATATGCTGAGAGAAAGGTGCCTGGCATCCCCGCTGCGTTGCATCCCTCGGGCGGTGCAGCCTTGGGAAACCGGAGCAGGGCCTGTCCCCATCCCTGCTGGCGGTGTCTGACCGCCGGGTCCGAACTTGTTGCCACCTGACAGCTGAGCTCCTCGTGATGCTTACCATTACCTTCGGTCGTACTGCCAGGTTCATGATCACCAGTGGTTTGCGTTCAGGCTTTTATGGATGTAACAATCAATATAGTGGTGCTAAGTGCCAGTTAGTGGCTCAGGTAATGTATCTGAATTGCACTTGGCACACTGGGGCTCTGCTTTCAGTGAAGAATGATGCTATCAGTGACGTCTGAGAAAAGCACTGTTTGTCTTGAAAACTGCATTTCTTTTGGGTACTGGACAGCTGATGGGTAACTGGGGAACACCAGCTCCAGGAAGAGATACATGTCCAGAGCACTGCAGAGAGGCTTTAGTGCTCTTCTGGACAGGAGGAAGTGAGTCACAATGTCCTGCATATGTGGTGCTGGTGTTGGGGAACGAGAGGGGGAGAGGTTTTCCATAAGTGACTGCATCATTCCAAACGGACAGAAATTCCATTTGTAATTGAATGTTAAGTTACCTGTATGGGTTCTGCCTCCAGATCGTGTGCGTTAGGAGTTAGCTCTTCAGCTCAGTGTGACATGTGGGTACCTTCACAGAAGACAAACAGCTCTGGGGCCCAGGTTGTCAGCGCAGGCTGATCTAATGCTGCTGTATTAATGCTTGCATGTTTTCCAACCGCCACAGACGTTTGTTGTTTCAGCAATGGAGACTCCTGAAGTGGCTGTAAGCAGCTGCAGCGCTCTGGATGAGGAAGGGATCTGCAGCTACAGACAACACCTGTCACTGCCACAGGAGCTGCTGGCAGAAGACCAGCTCAGGAGGAAGCTGAAGTTCTTTTTCATGAACCCATGTGAAAAATTCTGGGCCCGGGGCAGAAAACCTTGGAAACTTGGGATTCAACTGCTCAAAATAGCAATGGTTACCATTCAGGTGAGTACTGCGTAAGCAGGGACTCGATCCAATGAATTCAAATGAGGGGTGCAGATGACAAAGGCTTTTCCTTGGCCAGCGTGTAGACTGAAGGACAGACTGCAGAACTGTCTTGATCACATAGATGTAGCATAGATCTCAGGATCCTGGATGACATACTTCTCAAACTACTGACTGAAAAAGATTTCCTGAGAGTGGAGATGAAAGAAACCATCTTTAAGGATTTCTTTTTTCTCCCTTTCCCCTCTGGTTGTTATCTGTCCCATTCTACAATTAGAAATAAAATTTTACGGCAAAAGAATCTAAATAAGATCTGGACTTTTCAGATAAAATCTGCCAGTAGGTAATTAAATCTTTGTGCTATTGATTTGCTAGTGCATTCCCGTGTGTCTTCAACACCCAGCTTGCCCACAGACTGCTTTAGTGTCTTTGCTGAGTTATCCTTATCAAAAACTAAATATCCAGTTTGCCCTGTGGCCATAAAGCTGATCCGTAGACTACTGGTTCAGACTTACCTCTGATGAGTTTCTTCACAATACTGACAGACACTGGTTGTGAAACAATAGGCACTGAAGAGAACTGTGAGCTCCTGCAAACAATAGAGCACATTCTTCTGGGAAACTTTCCCAGCCCGAATAGCAGCTAGCAGGGTTTTATGCCAACTTCATGAGCTGTTGCAGTATGTGATGACTCTGAAGTTATCCTGTTAAAGCGCCATTTTCATCTGTTGCTGTCAAGGCACCTTTTACTCAAACCTGAGAGAAAGACATTTGGTTTGTTTGTTTGCTTGTTTGTGTTTGTTTGTTTTTGAGTTGTCCTCAATTTGCCTTTTTCTGCACTGGAGTCAGAACTTCAAAATGAGGTCTGGTTATGTCTTGTCCCACCTTTTTCTCTGAGAAATACTTAAGTTTCCTAAGGCAAATTATATTAGTGTCAGGCTGAAGTAACAAAGACATGTAACAATATATGGGTAGATTGAATTTGAGATAGTATCCTTTTCTTTGTGAAAATGCAAGTCCTTAGCCAGGAAGCTGGTCATCCTGTTGAAGGAACCATTGTTTCCTTAAAGCTTTCTTTTGACCAGCTCTGAAATGGAATAGCCTGCATGTTAGTGCCGTGTTTACCAGCGTGATGAGGGTAACTAGATGTTTTAGGACAGAATTTGTCTATTAGTGCAGAAGCCCAATTTGTCTTTGAATAGGAAATATAAATGTCTTTTTCAGCTGGTACTTTTTGGATTGAGCAATCAAATGGTGGTTGCCTTCAAAGAAGAGAACACTATTGCATTCAAACATCTCTTCTTGAAAGGGTACATGGACAGAATGGATGATACCTATGCAGTATACACACAGACAGATGTCTATGACCAAATATTCTTTGCCATCAATCAGGTAAGGATTGTCACTGCAATGAATGCAATATACACGCTCTTTACCTGGGTGCACCTTCTTCCTCTTTCATTCTGGACTGTGTCTGAGATTGAATGCATGTGCCTGTTGCTTGATACTGGAATACTGACTTGCTTATGTAGTTGGTAGAGGGAAAGGCTGTGTCCCATCTATTGAATGAAAATTGTAATGTGATATACAAGAAGTAACACATTTTGAGTTAATGCTGTCCTGGAGACTTACTTTTCATGAGAAGATGAGGTTGCAGACACTGCTTTTCCTGTGCTGTTTACAGGACTTTATGTTGAGATAACAAATTGGGATTGCTGAGTATTTAAGATTTTTTATTGAATGGCAGACTACCCTGCTGGATTTTCTTAAACACGAGGCTGTAGACCTCCCACTTTTTTTTTTTTTTCCTTCTTTTTTTTCTCCTAATGGATTCAATTACAGTTTTTGGAGAGAGGGGAAAAAACAA